TACCTTTCTTTCTGCAATGTTTTTGCCAGTTTCTCTTCCCTGATACACATTTTTATCCATCTCTCATGGAGCATTACTCCATAACGTATGTACAATGTGCACAGTACAGAAATCCTCTGCCACAGAATTCATTACCAAAATAATAATTTAAAAAGCATGATGATATTAACCCCAAGCTATGGGAACTGAGAATTTGCTAATAGTACTCCACGTTTCTGGTGAGTGTTAGAAGCAGCTGGCCTGTGTAAGGAACAACCGGCTTGACCATTTTCATGGCGGATAACAGAGAACTTACACACTGGGAAAGACGCCAGGAAATTTACCATTAATAAAAGTTCCTTAATGAAATCCAAATACTTACGGCATTAGAGAGATTCCTCCCACACCATCTGCAGCGAGCCAAAGTAGTGGCGAGGAGGAAATTCCATGGAATTGACTCCCAAAATGTTTGCTTTTGTTGGGCAAGTCTTAGAGCCGTTCAATCTCCCCCTGGAGTTGCTTAGTTTAAGCATCAGCAAGAGAAGGTTCCATATCAGTGAGGATTAGCTACCTTGTTATGTGTAATAAGTAAATAAGTAGAGCTAGGTTGTCTAAGAAGACTCTCTTCCAGGCATTAATTGAAAAATGCAGATCACTCAAGGGCATCTAAAGACCCATCTTGATCATCTCCTGCCACCTCTCCAGGAAGAGGACCTGGGTATTTTACATGATGGATGCAACACGTACTCAAAATGCATTGAGGCATCATTAAAAAAAAAACCAACTTCAGGTCTTTGCAACCACTTGCTCACAAAATATCCACAAAATGCCAAGGCTCCTGGAAAGAGGTAAATAAATATTTGGTGGAAAGATGACATAGAAACAAACTGATTTCCACATCCTTCATTCCTGATTTTCTAACAAGACTGAGATGAACTTCCCCCCAAATTGTACACAAAATCATGGACTTTTATTGGTAAAATTATATCTCTCAAACTGTCCCCTTTTCACTATGTTTTCTCTCCAGGTGTTGTTTTTGCTCATGGTGAGAACTGGAAAGTGATGCGTCGGTTCACGTTATCCACATTACGGGACTACGGAGTGGGCAGGAGGACCCTTGAAGACAAAATCAATGAAGAGTGTAATGTCTTCACCAAGACAATTAAGACTTACGCAGGTGGGTTGGTATTTCCTCCTAAGGCTCTGCTGGAGCACTTTCCAGGTCAACTGCAGAATGTTAAATAATTTCCTCAGATTATATCAAGTGAAGAAGGAGTGCTTTTGGAACACCTTCTCTTTAATGCTTCCTAAACTCACCAGTATTTTCCTGCAAAGATGCGTAGCTGATCAATTTATACAAACTATATTTACAGAAATGTGACTTATGGATGTCAAAATTATTCCAGAGGTCTTGAAAAGTTAATTTAGTGTAACCCAATGATCTCTCAAAAATGACAGTTCTAGACTTAATTTTCTTTACAGAATCCTCTAGATCCTCTATAGAGAGAGGAGTTGGGGCTACAAGCTCTCCATCTAAGCATGAAAAGGTGGTGCACACTGGACTGTTTATTCCACTCTGCTTTGGGAGAATGATAAACATGTTGCAGTATTTCAAAGAGCAAAAGCACATCATCTACGTGTATTAAGTGACCTAGAGTATTCATATTTTCCCCATGTTCTCCAACAAAAGTATTATCTTTCACTTGCCAAAATGGGATCCCCCATTATTCAATCCTAAGGATCAAAGTGCCATTGGTGCATTTATTCAGCAGCACACCTCACTGGTAGCTGACATAGTAGGAGAAGGAATCTCCTATTTTCCAAAATATTTGTCCCTAAACCCTCCAATGTCAAAAGTGCCTAGCACACAGTATCTCAGTTGGCAAAGTCTGGATGAGCATAGGGTATCAGCAAGGAGATACACAGAGCTCTAACCGTTGGCATTTATGGTTCTCTGCATTTTTGCAACTCAGAAATGATATGGATAAAATTTACCATTCATTACCTTGAGGAAGAAGAAATTAGAGAAGCCCTATGATATAC